CCCACAACACAACAAAGGCAGACGGCTGGCCCGCGCTCGCGCGATCCTAAACCGTACCGCCGCGAATCGCAACTCTACCGCATTCGTCGACGCAGCGCAATACGGTAACTCCTCCTCTTTCGCACTCGCGGTAGTAGATGGCGACGGAGCCCTACGCTCAGCCGCCTCGGTTAGGCTATCAACAAGCGCCATAGCCGAACAAGTTGCTATAGCTTTAGCGATGACCGACCCCTCACTCACTAATGTCTTCACAGACTCTCGCGCCGCCATTCGGGCTTACGAAACCGGCAACATCGCTCCAGAAGCAGCCCGCATTTTACAAACACGGAAATATACGGGCTCGCACTACCTCTCTTGGTTCCCTGCCCACATGGGCAAAGACGTTCACCCACAACAACCCAACCTCAACGAAATGGCTCATGATCGAGCACGAGAACTGACCCGCCGTGACGATCAATCAGCCACCGAAGAGCTGGGCCCAGACGTGCAGTTTAATGACCCACTACTCACCTTCCATGAAATTACCTCCCACTACCGACACAACAGAAGCCGATACCCTTTACCCCATTCAAAACTCGAACGCGCGCAAGAAGTAGCCTTTAGAATGTTACAAACGAGATCGTACCCATCACGGGGCCGACTCAGCCATTATAACTCAGACATAAATTCACAGTGCCCAGATTGCACAGAAGTGTACTGTTCACTCGCGCACATGCTCTGGCAATGTCCCGCGTTACCTCAGGGACCTCTCACCAGTGAGTCCGACTGGGAGGAGGCACTCAGGAGCCCCAATCTCCGAAACCAACTTAAGGCAGTCCAGAGGGCCCAAGAACTGGCGGAACGCCACCACGTTCCAGCCCCGACTCGGGCGTCGCCTACGGTAGCGGCTGCTAGGATGTCCCACGTGGGCACCCTGGTGGCTTAAACTCCTCAGGACCATATATTAAAGTTCTTGACTGACTGACTGACTGACTGTTGGAGTGTAGAAACATCATCGGAAGTTACTATTTCTCTATATATCACACAGTCATCAGCAAAGAGACGAATTGACGAGGAAATGTTACATGCGAGGTCGTTTATATAAATCAGAAACAGTAAAGGGCCAAGTACTGACCCCTGGGGGACTCCTGATGAGACACCCACTGGGTCAGAAACGTGGTCATTTAATTTTACAGATTGCAAACGGTCTGTTAAAAAACTACGAATCCAGTGGGTTGTTTTGTCATCCAGATTAAGGTTACAAATTTTAGCCATTAGACGCTGATGTGGAACCCGATCGAACGCCTTCGACAAATCGACATAAATGGCATCGGTACAAAGCAACCTGTGCTGCGAAACGTGGAGGTCAGTGACCAGCTCAAAAAGTTGTGTCTGACATGAGAAATGTTTCCTAAATCCGTGTTGATTGCTAATGAAGAAGTTATTCTGATTAAGGTGGGTTACAACATGCGTGAAAAGAATATGTTCCAGCAACTTGCAGCTGATTGAAGTAAGTGAAATAGGCCTATAGTTAAGGGGATCAGACCGGTCACCAGATTTGAAAAATGGTAGGGTATGGGCAAATTTCCAATCGTCCGGCAAGCAACCTGAATCTAGGGATTGCTGAAATAACAACGACAGCAGGTAAGCTGAGTAAGGAGAAGTTATTTTCAAGAGCTTCGCTGTTATATCGTCAGACCCGGGGCTAGTTTTGGAAGCTAGGTGGTCGATAGCGCATGCCACGCCATGGGCTGTAACTACAATGGGCGTAAAACTGGAATCTATGTTTGGTTGCGACGGATCAAAAGAGTCATTTAGAGGTAGCTCGGTAGTGAAAACTTTGGCAAAGGCTTTGTTAAAATGTTCGGCACATTCTTGCAAGGATAACTTATCCCCGGTTGCATTGGTTAGGACGGGTACCGTGTTTTTGTTCTTGGGGGTTTATAATACTCCAGAATTTGCTTGGGTCGGTTTTCATAATACTTGGGAGCGTAATATTAAAATACTTATGTTTTGCCTCACGTATTGTTTGTTCAGTTAAAGTAGAAATCTGTTTGTAGTTCTGCCAGTCATCAGGATCGTTGGTTCGAGTTGACTTTCTGTAGGCCCTTTTTTTCCTGTTTAAAAGCCGTTTGACGTCACGGGTAAACCATGGGTCGTTCGTCCTAGAGCTTATTACCGTTTTTGGAATACAAGATGCCTGAATTTCTTTGAGCTTGTCGTGAAATAGACACCAGTTTTCATTCATTGTACGATCCTGCAACCCAGTTTCAAGATTAACAGTTAAGGTTTCCAGCATATCGTTCATTTTTTGTAAGTCAGCGCGTCCGTAGTTGAAGATTTGTTTTTCTGTTTTAGTTTTGATAGCGCGTGCCACTGATAGTGTGCAGTGTATGGCCTTATGGTCACTTATTTCGTCAATGACGTGTGTGTTAGTAATTTCGGGTTGATTCGTTGATTCGTGAGAATGAGGTCAAGCAAATGTGCGCTCCGCGTTGGTTCGCATACTATTTGCGTAAGTTGGTGGTAATCAATACATTGAATGAAGCTAAGGCATTCGAGGCGATTATTTTGCGCAGCGACGGAGTTTGTTGGCCAGTCGATACCCGGGTAGTTAAAATCACCACCTATAACTAACAAGCTACTTGGAAATTCGTGCAAGATGGTGCCAATTGTATCGTTTAAACTGTCGACGAAATCTGCGGGACCATCGGGGGGGGACGGTAACAAGCGCCTAAGACACAAGGTGTATGGCCAATGTGAATGCTGACCCAGATAATTTCTAATGGTGAATCGATGTCTATTTGTGATGGGCGATACTCTTCTTTAACTGCGATCATTACGTCGCCCCCGCGAGAGCCGCACCTGTCCTTGCGAAAAATTTCGAAGTTTGAAGGAAGGGTAAGATGTTTATTTGATATTTCGTCGGAAAGCCATGTTTCTGTGCCGATAATGATATCGGCTGAACATGTGTGCATAATAGCTTTAAGGGTGTCAAGCTTTGGAAATATACTGCGGAAGTTTGCTAGGAGTAAGGAAACTGGGGCTATTGTTTGGAAGCTACGTGAGCGACTAACAGTGTGTCACCTAGAGGAGGGCTGATTTTTTGCAGAAACCTGGACTACTTGGTTTATGGATGAATCATAGCGGTAAATGCCGCGTTCCGTGTGAAGCTTGTTAAAGCGCACATAGTATTTTCCTCCGTCAGTTCTATTTGCCTTTCCGAATTCACGCAGTTTCATTCTAGCGAACTGAACCTTCTGGGAAAAATCTTCCTCAAGCCATACTTTGGGTGATTCGAGGTTTTTCAGTTTATGCCCAAGGCTCAGAGCCTCTATTTTTGATTTAAAGTTCAGAAATTTTACAATGAGTGGCCTGTGAAAGTTAGGTCGACTGCGACCAACGCGGTGAGCCCGTTCAATGTCGCCAACGTCATGCCGGAGATGCTTAGAAAAAAATTCCCTTACAATACGTTCCGATTCCACGTAGTCCTCATGTTCGACTTCATCAAGACCCTTAATTATAAGATTGTTTCTGCGCATGCGGTTATTCATGTCATCCACGAGATCTACGAGCTCTTCATTGGCCTTGTTAATGTGAACTTTCACTTCTTTAACGGAATCAGCGGCGGCATCGATGTTAACCTTACAATCAGACACATTTTTCATACTTCGTTTGATAGCGCAAACACGAGCGTCGATGCTTGTGATATGCTGTTTGATTTCTGCCAGAGCCGTTTTGGTTTCTTCATGACACTCCTTGACAAGTGCGAGCACATCATCGATTTTGGGCCCTGGATTTGCTTCGACATCTCCAGCTGATAGCAGCAGGAGCGCAAGGCACATAGACAGTAGCAGTGAAGAAGGTTTAGGGCAAAGTACCCGGGTTAAACCAAACGCTGCAAAGAAACAATCGACACGACGGCACCCGTGTGCTCGTCTGGGAAAGAAGGTACCGATGCGTGCACGATACGTACAAACGTCGACACCCATGGCACAATTGTAACAACACACGTGGTGGGATTTACGGCCTCATAAAGTTGTGGTAGCTGCAATTACGGTGAGTGTGAACAAAAGTTTCCTACCTATGACAGAAGAAGGCACGTGTTAACAGTATGCCACTCGTGGCCGCAAATCCCGGAGATGAGCAGCTTCCCAGCGTTTAAGTATGGTCCCGTTGGCGCTGTTGCTTGTGACGTCACAGGAGGGCGTTTCTTCTTTTCGTCATGCTGGTCGGGGCCAGATAGTAGTGGATTGTTGACAGCTTGGTTGATGAGTAACGGCCAGGTGGCTTGGGGCTGGTTGCGCGAGGCAAGCCTCGCTTTCCTATGACAGAAGAAGGCACGTGTTAACAGTATGCCACTCGTGGCCGCAAATCCCGGAGATGAGCAGCTTCCCAGCGTTTAAATATGGTCCCGGTGGCGCTGTTACTTGTGACGTCACAGGTGGGCGTTTCTTCTTTTCGTCATGCTGGTCGGGGCCAGATAGTAGTGGATTGTTGACAGCTTGGTTGATGAGTAACGGCCAGGTGGCTTGGGGCTGGTTGCGCGAGGCAAGCCTCGCTTTCCTATGACAGAAGAAGGCACGTGTTAACAGTATGCCACTCGTGGCCGCAAATCCACTCGTGGCCGCAAATTGTAATGCTTATGCAGTAGATGTACCATAAAGATATGCCAACTCGCCTGATATTCTATTTCAATGCACAATTTTCATCCACCCTATTGTAGTACAAAGCTGCAAACTAAATTGGCGAGAAAGCATGCGCGGATTACGCTGAAAGTAATTCGTTGACGTACAGTACGAAATAGAAAGAAATTCGATACCTGGCGGTCCAAAGCCTTTTCAGTCGTTGATAAGCTTACCGGAGAGCTTGCGAATCTTAGCGCCTTCCATACACTTGTTTGCAACCTTTTGGTGTATGTTCCGGTAACCAAACAACGCAAAAAATAAAACGAACCAAGTTGAGTTAGAAAAATTAGGCGCAATTACGTTGTGGACGCTGCTTTCTGTAGCCCGACTTACCGGAATCGTAGCCGAAGAGGATGCCACCCAGAGATGCGATGCACGCCGCCAGGAGAACCGAGAGAAAACCACCGTTAGTGGCTTTGGCTTCAGCCGCAGACTGGCTTGGGACGACCGGTGCTTTTGTGTCGGTTGCCAACGTTTGGTTGACAACATGCTCCTTCTCGCTGTTGCCCGGCAGCCTGGGCGGTGGAAGATCACAGCGCACGGACTGGGACCTCGGAGTGGCCACTGTGAGAAGGCAAGAGGAACGAAAATTGTAAATCACTAAGTACGACCTAAATTAGATGGATGCAGCAGAACACACATCTAAGACAACGTAGCACCCTCTTTGCGTACTCGTAATTTTCATGACACCGACACACACACACTTTAACTATAAAAAAAATCTTTCAGGAAGAGGGACATCTATATCGAACCAATCTCCACGGGGGATCTAACCGTGCCGCATAAACCACATTCAAGGACACGAAACTGGTCCGATAGACATACTTAACCAGACAGCGCCAGTGTTCCTGCCAAGAAAAGTTGCTTTCTTCGGCGTGCGTCGAAAGCTTTCTGCATGCTCGTCACGCCGATAGAGATAGGAAGCATAGCAATGACTGTGAACGGTTTACTTTTATTATTAACATGGCAAGCGAGCGTAGATACATTACAACAAAGCCAGCTATCCAGAATTGTCAATTTCTAACTCAACTAGCAAACGAAAAAGGAGGATAAAGTACTGAAAGGCTTACGAACGCAAAAATACGAATAATGTTGAGAACATCAGGACCGATAGCGACATCCAGAGCCCACCAAACAATAGCTAGAGTTCCCACTTATGTTCCGCGTGTTCACGTCTGCTTGTATAACGACTAGACTACCGTATGACCATTCGTTTAGAAAACGAACCAGCTTTCTTGACGTGTGGTAAGTTATTGGCTGCTCGTTTACTTGCCTTGGTTTTCCATTTTTGAATGGTTCATACCAACTATGGTGCAATGGCCAAGAGTCGATCGGGATCGAGCGAAGGTGTTTAATCGTAACAAGAAAACGACGTGTCGGTTTAGTAAAGATACCCATAAAGTGAGATGTGACATCTACTGAAACTTTTGCTGCACCGTATTCTCGAAGCAATGATGACTTTCTCGATGACTAATAAAACGAGCAAGAAGAAAAAAAATGTCGTCTCCAGTATTTTATATAAGGTTTGGCGTCCACCCATCCATACATGCGTGTGTACGTAGCATAAAGCTAAACAGAAATCGATATGGTTTTCAAGTAAAGAGGCTGACAGGAGATTTCTGCTGGTCGTTGATACAAACACGAGACTAACTCTGTTCTGGCCAGGATCCTAGCGAATCGCACCGCGAGGTACAATGGACAACTCGAAGCATGGAACTGCAAATCAGTTTTCGTAATATTGTTGAAAGCAATGACGAAATAAAAAGTGACAGAATCGCATTATTATTATTATTATTATTATTATTATTATTATTATTATTATTATTATTATTATTATTATTATTATTATTATTATTTATTTATTTATTTCCCAGTGGCTGAAGTCTTCTTGCCCGCAGCTGTCGATGATATTTTTTGGATTTGTGCAATTCAAACCCTGCCCCCCCTTTCCGTATTTTATTTCTATTTTTCCGTTATTCCTTTACAGTTGTGAGCCTATATTCTAAACTGATATTTCGTTCATACTGTATCTCATCGCGGCGTCCCAAGAACAATGTGTCTATGAATAGATCTGCTGCCCGTCCATTCAAAACAGCTGGCCGCAATGAGCGATCTTTTTTCGTCTTTGTTCTCAGACAGCCGTGTATGCACGTACGGTTACCTTCCTTGATATGCTTTACAGCGCTTACTTAGCTTCATGATGAAGCTCTCGAATGGAAATCTATGAGGAGAAAAAGAATGCTGAGACCATGCATACGGTGATGATACATGCCAAGCAGCTGTCCCTGAATCTCGTAATTTCTCGTTAGTTATTCGTATAAAGCGCATCATTCAACTTGTTGGCACACATGCATACGCTTGAGCCTAGCACGCCCGTATTTATAATCTGTAATCACTCTCCGCGTAGAATAAAGCGGCAAGCTTTAGGTAATGTGCAGTGACGGAGGTATAGAAGTGTGTGCGTTGCACTCATATGGTTCCCCTACCAAAGTTACCACACAGACTGAACTTTGGCAGCGCAGTCATTAAAACGTGTAGCGCAGAGCCCCTAGGTACGGTTTATACAGAATGCAAAGGAGTTCTGTGGATACCCGAGGGGTGGCGGAAGGGTCAAGAAAGGGAGAATAAACAACCACCAGTTAAGAATTCCCTTGCAGTCTTGCTTGCGTAGTTACGCACGTGTTTCTTGCACAGTTTTTATCGCGCGTTATGTTTGACAGATTCGCAGAAATTTCTATTTTTTTGGATGCATTGTAAGATGTTAAGCGTGCGCTGCGCGCACGTGCAACGATTTATTATGTGTTCATGTCGCACTAATTTGTTAAAGTGGTGAACCGTGAACTTACAATGCCACGGAGTAGTTTGATACAAGAATATTCATGTTTATGTCAATAGGTCGTGAAAGTGTTTTTATGATTTTTATCTTAATCAGCTTATTTCCTAATCGCTCGATTTTGTGCAGTGATAATTTATCGCTGAAAAAAAAAACTATTTTTAATTTACTTTTGTACTGTCCATAAATACTGTGCTGATTTGAACTGTTTCGTATACATCTGTTTAATTGTCGTACGCTGACACCCGGATTGCTCTCGGTGTATTCGTTGCAGGAAACTATGTGGTTGCGCTATTTGACCATTAATGCAGAAATGAACTTTTTTTTAAACTACTTCGATGTGTCGTTACGCTTCAAGGTGCACCTGTCTTTTGTGACCGTGGCTTCGAAACGTGTACTTGTGAGTGTGTTAAAATTTGGATGCACGTCAAAGAACCCCAGGTGGTCTAAATTTCCGGAAGCCTTTACAACAGCGTCTCTCATATTCATATGGTGGTTTTGGGACGTTAAACCCACATATCAATCAAATCAACATGTACTTGTGACTAACTATATATATTCTCAGAAACCACCGGCAACCTAGAACGTCCTAAATCCTAATCCTAAACCCTTAGAAACAGTTGAGCTAAAACCAGCGATGATAGGTCCAACTTCGATAGGCTAATTACGCCTGGCGGCCGTTCTGACTTGTTACTTTCTATTCGCATTTCGACTGACGCTCCTGCGGAATACACGCTATTCGACTGCCCGTGGGGGTTGTGAGAAAAATGCCCATCTCCCCAACCGGACATCACTCACCGCTTCCTAAAAACGGCTGACTCGCCCGGTAGTCGTCCAAGATGCGCGGCCCAGCGGCGGCGACGGCCGCCGGCGCCAGGTTGAGACGAACGTCCATGTCTTGCAGCAGCTGGCGCGAAGCCGCGACGCAGCTTGCGAGCTTCGGCCGAGTGTTGCAAAGTAGAAGGGCGTCACGACGAATGACTCCACACACAGTTGCTGCTAACTTAGTGAATACTGTCAGAAGCCGCTGCTTCGAGTGCGTCGCCGAAAGCTTGCAGGAGAATTGGGGGGCCGATGTGATGCGCACCGCGCTTGCAACGAAGTCTACGGTCAGTCTTGAGTGACTTTTCTCTTTCAAAGGCAGTTTCTCCTCTACACACTCCTTCTTGGGTCTCCCGCCAAGGCTTACGGGATATCCTCGACGTGATGCCACGTGCAACTCTGACTTTTACCTAATCTTTCATCGAGATCCCTACAGCGTGCGTGATGGACGAGCAGTCACCGTACTCTCCCTACAGCCTGAGCTGTCAACGGCGACGTTCTGTGTACTATAGTGGTCGTCACGTAATAGAGTAGTCCCGACGGTATATTCCGAGCAGGCTCTTTCTAAATAAAACGGAGCGAATTCACGTAGCAGTTCCTGGATAATCGGTGTTGGTTGAGCGTTCACGAAACTTGCTGAGTCACGGATCTTGCCCAACCAGGTGTTCCCTTCCTTGTATAGTCTCGCGCTCTAAACAAATGTACCGATCAGTGTGATTGATCACTTTTTGACTTTCTGCGTGGAAAAAAAGCGAACTAAGTAAATGCTGTTGCCGGCGTCTCAAATGAAATTTTAAAGAAGCGAGCACGCCTTTCGAGTCGATTTTCGGAGACGTACGATTCTCGAACTATCGCTCGAGTTCCAGTGTACGCAGTCCCGATGGGATGGGGTTTCGTCCTGCACGACGGGCACGGCACTTCAAACAAGCAGCGTCGATCTAAAACACACACGTGCCGCAAGCGTTGACACTCCACCGTTTCTCGGGCTGTCTCTGTTCGTCGCACTGAATGAAGGCCCGTCTTCTCCTATGGAACCTTAGCGTGTCACCAAAGCTGAGTGCTTTTGCCAGTCACCCCGTCACGTGCTGCGCGCGATGCACTTCTCAGAGACCGATGCCGTTGATCCCGTCATCGCACGTCTTCCTTCGGTCGAGCACCTCTCGCGAATGTGTGGCATACTGGAAGCGGGCTCTTTGTTACCTCGGCTTGCTCCCCCACGCTATCTCTCTCCAATTGTGTTTGAAGGGCAATCTCATCCCCGCCATTCACACTGCTTACCCTCGCTACAGGCCGCGCCCTTCTATTCTGCGGTCACTCTTACGTCACAACCTCTCCTGTTCACAATGTCGATTCCTTCTGCTTTTTGCGCACTATAAAGCGAGACGTCACGACAATGTAAAGGGGCACTTGGCGAACCGTCACTTCTTCGAGGTCAGAAGTCTAATAGCAATGCTTTCCGAACTCGCTCCTTTCCGTGCCTGGGCTTGACTGAATTCGCTTCCTCTTAAGAAACACGACGGTCTGTCTTCATCAGTATAGAGTTGCGCAGCTGCTGAGGCGACTTCTTCTGGAAGCTTTGCTTCGAGTTTTACATCAAGCCTCTTCGTTAGCCTTCTGAAGATCCCTGTAAGGTTTGCTACACGTTACCTGCTTACGATGCTACAGCAGTCGTCGAGGCCCTAAGGCGAGCTGGAACGATGTGGTCCCTCTGAAGAAAGGAGCTCGCAGCTCCCTCGGCACACTTTACCACCGGGATCTCTTCACGTGTTGTGCATCCTAACGTCTCGCAGAAAAACCAGTGCCAGCAGACGCACGCCGGAACGAAACAGTTGTCGGTTTACGATCGCAGTCAGTGGTGGCGGTGGATGCTAAGGGTAACTGGATCTGACGTTCTCCGGCATTCCGACCAGTGCGGTCGGCGCTATAAGACAGTCTTTGTACACGCAGGCAAGCGCACACACTCACTAAATATCCGTATTGGCGCGTCGACTTCTTTGGCAACGTGGGTACAGAAAGAAAGAAGAAAAAAAAGTCGAGACGTTTGGGAGATGCAACGGTGCGGCTTTCTGCGCGCGTCCCTTACGCGATAATGTGAAGGTCTTTTCTCTGTTTGGTTTGTCTGTCCGTGCTGCCGTCGGCGTTCTTTTTATTTCTCCCGGTACTTACACGGCCGTAGGAGTCGGTATCAGCTTGACGTGGTGACGACGAAGGGATCTCGACAAGAGCGCATGCCGTAGTCAGCGTACAAGCGGGGGGGGGGGGGGGGGGGGCATCGGTCAAGAGACGATCTCGAGGTGAGTTGCAGAGCTCCATGGGGCGAAGATAAACGTCTCGCGCGCATGCAAAAAGAGAGATACGGTGGGCCCTCTTAGTTGTAAGCGATTCTTAAAAGAGATAAAAGAAGATAAAAGTGAGCTACGTAACTGTCTGCATCATAGTGCGACCCCTCAACAGTGGCTCATGAGGGATGGGGGTAAGGAGGGAATTAAGTGGGATAGGGAGGATAAAAAGGGATATGAATTGAGATAGAGCAGAAACAGAGAGACCCAAATACTGAAATAAGCAGAGGATGGGAAAGATGGACACGGTCCCAAGAGGTCTGATGATGATGCACCACTCAACGAGAGAGCTCTTGTCGGCGTCAGGAGATGGCGTAGGGCGAGCCAGTCAGCCAGAGCTGTGCAGTCGTCGGAGATCGCGGGGGCGCAGGCGGTCGGCACGAAATCCAGCGAGCGAGTCCCATCAGTTGTATCGTTTTGTATACGAAACGTTGAGATTCAGCGTCGATGCATCATCGTCACATGTCGCATTCATCGGTCCATGGACGACAGGGTTTGAACCAGCCGTGGTAGATCGAGAGAAAGAAATTTGGGGGTGGTTAAAAAGAAGCATCCATCCACGCTTCTCTCTCCTCAGATAATACAGGGACACATTGTGACTCTTCACCATGGGCGAGCAGAAAAAAAAAAAACTCACTCGGATTTTTTCAAGAAGTATACCTTGCTCTTTGGTCTCACTTGGGCCCGGACCCGCCAAATGTTTCCTGAGTAGAACACACTCGAACTCAAACTCACGAAAGTCTGCTTCGACCGGACTCACTCGTACTCATGCTCATCGAAATATTTCAAAAGTTAAGAAAGGAAAATGGCCACGAAGATGCAATTAGGACGGGCAAGACCCTTAATCTGTGGACGACCCACTAAGCGGCAGATATACTGTATACCTAACTCCAAATAAAGCAAGTTGTTTATCAACGATCCAGTTAACCTCGCTTGATAAGGAAGCTATTTTTGGGGTGCCACTACGGCGTTTTTACAACGCGTAAAAGCACGGCCTTTGTCCACTGTGTCTATTATGTACAATGAGGAAGCTTACCTATGTTACATTCCTGTGTTTCCAAAAAATAAGCTTCACAGACACGAAGCGACATGTTCTTTTACACGTATAAAATATTTTTTCACAATTTCTGATGCTATTGGTGTGCTTAAAATAAATAAATAAATAAATAAAAAAAATAAATAACACTTTCATATTCTCGACACATGCAAACAAAAGTGCTCGCTTTCCACAACCTCCGTTTTACCAAGCGACTCAAGAAGATCGCTTTTTTCCCGCATTGCACAATAAAGTGTTTAAACTCAGTTGTTTGCCGACGTACCTTGTCAATGCACATGACTTGCCACATGCGGAAAAAATTCTTGACATCTCTGTACTACGCAGTTTGTAATCGAGATGCCGAGGTTGGCATACACATTCTTTATAAGGTTTTCCTGGCATACATAAAGGAACTTGTGAATGCCGTACAGCGAGTTATTTCGCCTAACAGATACGTAAAGAAAAATAAAAATGATGCGAAATTGAAACGCGAAGTTATTGCTGTGATGAAACAATATCGTCATTTGTTTTTCCTTTCTTCTGTAACGTCGCTGCTTAATGTTCGCTCATTGATTCATTAATTTTCTTTTATTTCTTTAGGCGTCGTCTAGTGACTCCGTGCTCCGGATATTCCGGTGTATTTTTCCGTTCGCTGTCTTCGCTCAGCTCACGAACTATATTCGAAGAAAAAGTCAGGGTATATTTTCGAAGCTCTCGAGACAACAACACAACAGCTAACGCATAGCGGGCGTTGTAACTCGTTTGGCTCGCGGTTCGTTTGCGAGGCAGTGTTGAAAGAGGAAGTCTTAAACATGTACGTATTAGGCTCTCGCTAGCATTGTGGCGGACAATTAGAATCGCATGCATAACTAATTTGCGCGCAGGCACGAATTGAAAATGCACTCACGTACGTCTTCCACCCATCTCTATTAGCGGTTTTGCTCGAATATGCTCCGGAGTTACACTTCCAGCGAATTGCACGGGATGCAAGCGCAGCCATGGGCGCCCTAGAGCAAGTCACCCTCTAAAACGAGGCACCATCACGTGTCCACAAACGTGTGCCCGCCTTTTTTGTTCTATATTTATTTTCCTTTTTCGAACGTTAGACGTCGTTGCAGTGCTCACCGTTGAGAAAGCGCCGTTTCGTTGAACCTTGGAGAGAGTCCAGGGAGGGGCGTTGTTATTGTTTTGACAGAACCATTTGCGTGGAAAAAAGGCTGACAACTTCCTGGCGCGCCACATCGCGCCCGCAGGAGTCATCCCCGTTCTTTTGGCAGTGCGATACACTGCGTAGTCCAGCTTTACTTTTGTACGAACGTTGGTAGTAAGATGAAAAGAAAAAGCCCCGCCGCGATGGCCTCGTGGATAAGGTACTCTGCTGCTGACCCGCAGGTCGCGGGATCGAATCCCGGCTGCAGCGGCCGCATTTCTGACGGAGGTGGAAATGATGTAGGGCTGTGTGCTCAGATTTGGGTGCACGTTAAAGAACCTCAGGAGGTCGAAATTTCGGGAGCTCTGCATAATAGCGTCTCTCATAATCATATTCATAATCATGGTGGTTTTGGGGCGTTAAACCCCCCATATAAATCAATATCAATCAATCAAGATGAAAAGAAAGGGTAGTTTTGCCAGAAACTACGCGTGTACACAAAAGGCACAGACAAGCGCAAACTTCTCCGTGTGTTCTGTGTAAATGCGTAATTTGTGCGCAACCATATTGTCCTTCCATGTTTAAACCAACTCACCTACAGCAGCAAGCTTTACTGATTTGGAGACTGATCTCTGCGCAAGGAGGATAAATTTGAAGAGCATGTACGCGTTCCAAGGCGACATTCTCCGTCGCAACAAATTTAACAGGTGTGCACAAGAAAGTTCTTTTTTTAATATTGGTGAAGAACCATGTGAACGCAATGAGCAGCTTTTGCGTGAGTGCTCTTGTTTCATGAGATGAGTGTGTTGTGTTTGGCATGCTGTACCACTTATCGACATGAGCAATTAGAGGGTAGGAAGGAAGTATGTTCATTTACAGAAAGGCAGAGAGGTCGGCCTGAGCGATAGTTTGCTCTAGCCTGCTACTCTACACTGGGGGAAGGGAAAGGGGGAAAGAAAGATTAATGGATGACGATGGTCAGATAGAGAGGTGAGTATGTAGTGTTCTTTCTGGCTGAGACACATTTTAGAGCCGCGCACATGGTCCAGTTGTTTCTAAAAAGGTAATAACTGCTCTTGTGACCGCAGTTGCACTGTTGGTGTCTGGCCAAGGGCTCAAAAGGGTCTCATCAGTTAATGACCTACTGCGATATTGTTCAGTAGAAGAAATCAGTATTTGTCGTTCACGTGCGTATGCTGGGCAGACACAAAATATGTGCTCAAGTGTCTCTGGCACATCACAGTGTTCACAATTAGGACCGGTGTCACTGCGACCGATGATATGTGCGTAACGTCTAGTGTACGCTACACCAAGACGAATGCGATGGATCATACTTGTGAGTTGCCGTTTCAATTTAGGAGGCATGCGGAACGTCATTTCCGGGTCCGAGGGTAAATATAGAAGTAGAATATAGGAGAAATATAGAAGTATAGAATATAGAAGTGCATGCGCCGAGACGGGCTGTAACAGTGACTTCGTACTGTTGTTAAAAAAAAAAGCAGAAAAACGCGCTAACAATTTTGAGGGGAGAGGGGTGTGGGGGAAGGGAAAGAGAGGGTACTTGTGTACGTACTCACATTCAACCGTGAACATGAGTAAATACTTACGGTCAAACTACGATTGTTAAAAATGCGATAGTTTGACCAATTTACGGCCAGCCTGACATGATTGGCGAATGAAAGTGCACATTACCACCCAAGCTGTGTCGTATAAGAAAAAGACTCTTTTACGCGTCTTTTACACAAAACGCGAATGACCATCACAACTCAGATACTAAGGACGTGTCGTCTGCGCTCTTGAAACTACACGGACTTTCCTTCGTCATTGCGTAAATATCGCAGACTGCGTTCTGAGATCACGCCTCTCTTCACTTTCACTTCTCTTGCAGTATAAATACGGGGCCATATATGGACCGTCGTCGGCAATAAGCGTTGTATATGAGCGAGGTGCCATGTCAGGACACGTCCAGCGCTATCTCGACTTGTTGAGTGGGACACGGAGTGTGTCTGACGAGTTGTTGTTATACTTTACGGGATCCTTGTCTACGTGAAAGAAAAAAAGAAGACAAAAAAAAAAGAATTGCGCGTATGACAGCTCGTAGGTCAAGAGCAGGATACGCAGTTGCAGGTCCTGCCCGCTAGAAACCGCTTCGAACCTTGTGATTTCGTAAGCCTTCTCTTAGTGTTACTGTAGTAACTGTTGCAACTCTTAGTGATCGTATGAAGAAGCTTTCATTCTAGGTACTGTCTGAATCACACTTGCTGAGAACCTGTCTGGACGCTGTTGCCGCCTGGAGTTGCACTGCGTTGCTTAGAAGCGTCTGTTTGCGCTTGAATTACGACACAAGGAGTTATTATGCGGCATGACTATATGGTTGGTAACGTTAGAGCGTTCGTCTCTGCATCTTCTTTTTTTGCAAAAAACAATGTCGACTATAGTAGCCGACTGGCCGCTCTAGACAGCTGGGATTCATACAGACTGTCCAACACGCTCTAACATTCGCCT